AAGTGCCAGACCACTGATTCGTCAAACCTGCTTTCCTGCAGTCCGTGTTCTTCTGACTTCTGACTATTTTGTAGTAAGTAACGAATATGCTTCGGGGAAATGTATCGGAGTAAAAGTATACATTTTAATTAGGAAATGTAGTGGAGTAAATGTAAAAGTTAGCTGAAATATAAAAACTCAAGTAAAGTACAGATACTCCCAAAAAATACTTAAGTAGGTACTGTAACAAAGTATTATTTCTTTGTTACATTACACCACTGCAAGTGTGTGACATGCTTCGGCGCCAAATGCCATTTAGAGCTATTAGCCTACCCTCGAAAGCCATTTTTATTAACGAGGCTACAAATCTCGGCTGTCTCTGTGTAATTGATCACGTTAACTTGATTTGAACAGAATGAGTTTCTAATTATTCAAAACTTCAGATGTAATTAATGTTTAAATGAAACTCGCCTGCGTCCTGTCAGGTGATGCTCCACAGCTGCTCCACAGCCCGGGAGTTCAGTCCCTGCCGACCGTTGTTTAATTCCGAGTGCACTGTCTGGATAATGGCCTGTAATTGGTTGGTTTTAGCATGGAGATGAAAAACACAGTGAGACTCTCAGGCCTGTTTAAATCAGAAAGCATCCATCAGTTCAGCTGCCACTCTCTTTTCGGTGTCTGAAATATTGCAAACCATGTTTCTAAATGCTGTGTTTTAAATCTTTCAGGTCAATTAAAGTTGAGGTGTACGACTGGGACAGAGATGGCAGGTAGAGAAACACACACATTTGCTTGTTTTACACACTGCACATTTATGTAATATATTCTCCTATGTACAGTATAGTATACATTTGGTACGCCCTACAGAAAGGCACTTTATTTTTTCAAATCATAATTTTTCCTTCATAACGTAGCGACTAAATTTCCCTCTAGCTTCCTGCAGTCAGCTCTGCTCTAAAATACCTGGCAGTAGCAAATACTGATCACTCCAGATTTCATATAGAAGTTCAAATCCATTTATCTTCATCATCACAAACAGTAAGAGTCTCTTTGTCGTTCTTTGTGCTTCAGTCATGATTTTATCGGGGAGTTCACCACCAGCTACAGAGAGCTCTCTCGCGGCCAGAGTCAGTTCAACGTGTACGAGGTGAGTTCACTGAAGCAGATACTGATCCATTGATCATCAGAGGATCTCTTGTATTCGGATAAAGGAGTGATTCTAGATTCATGAATTTATGATGTCAGAAAAATAAATTAAGTCAGTGAGTCAGTTTTGACTAATATAGGGGAGACTGCACTTAGTTTGAATATAACCTTGATATAAGTGGTTGTTCAAAATATTATAATTATAAAATGCATACATTATTTAAAAAAGTATATATTTATATGTCTGAACAGCAACAACAACAACAACTATTATTATTATTAATAATAATAATAATAATTTTGTTTTAATGTTGTTGTTTTTTAAATAGTAATAATACAGTAATAATACAGTTTTAATGCTGTGCCGACCAAACCGACAACCTGGACCAGCCATGTTGGAGCTGGTTTTAGTTAATAATTAACAAAATGTAGGAATATTTTGTCTAACTTGAGCTTTCATTTGCATGAAGTTGGATTTTCTTGTCTATTCCATGAGAGATCCAGCAAGCAATGAAAATTGCACCATTTCAAGTCTCCCTTATTCGCTCTCTGTGATTATCACACTTTGTCTGCCAGCAAGTACAGCAGCAGCAAATGAGTGTGAGAGATTGTTTTTCAGTGTTTATGGAAGAGAGCAAGAAAAAAAGTAAGGGCAATGAGACAACGGATGACAGGGTACAAAGCGTGTGTTTATGTGAGAAAGAAGGAGAGAGAGAGTAACAGACAGCTATGTGGGGGTGAGGAGTGTGTATAAATGTGCCGTGTGTGTGTGTGTGTATATTCACCCTAGCATTAGCCCAGTGGTGGGGTGAGGGGGTGGTGAGATGTTCTACAGGAGTGGGACAGTCTCAGTGGTGTGCTGAAAGGATCTGGGGTTTCCTGGGGATTGAGTTGGACAAACAACACTAGAAGCTGCGGTGTCGGTTCAGTTAAACCCCAATCCATACAAATCACATCATCTGTGTCCTGGTTTCCAAACTGTTAGCCAAGGTTGTGTATGTAACCGACCTGAACTGGATTTCTCAAAGCATCTGAACATTAAATCAGTTGTGTCTTTGAAAGTAAGTGGAACAGAAATGACTAGCAGACTGGAAATGATCCAGTAGCAGTGCTCTCAAATTCTCTTCTTTTGGACAAGTAACGGGTCTAATGAGAACCATTTTCTCTCATTCTGTCTCTCACACACACTCCCACTCTTCCTGTAAATGATGTGTCATTTCTACATTTTCTTTTTCAGGTGGTGAATCCTAAAAAGAAACTTAAAAAGAGAAGATACATCAACTCTGGCACAGTGAGTAGTGAATTTGCTATCCTAAAATCCTGCACAAATCAGTACTTTTTGTCTTGTTTTCCAGTACAAACATTTACACATGCTAAATTTACCTTAAATGTAACTGCATAAGATAATAAGATTTATTAATTATATTTATTAATATATATATATATTAATATATATGTATTAATATATTTTAAATTAAGTTTACATTTCTTATGACACTGTCAAATGCTTTATCTTGCTTGAAGAAAACTGAACTAAATTTTGTGAGGGTTATGCCTAAAACAAGAAAAAAAAATATTTGGAAAACATAAATAATAAAAATAATTCAAGAGATGTTCTCTGAAAGCATGTTTTCCTTTTTCAGAAAAATACTTTTCTCTCTTTAACAACAGTGCTATTTTAGTATTACTTCTATACTATTATAGTATTTTTTACTAATATTTTAAATTAGCTTTTATATTTATATTTTCATTTTTAATCTTTATTTTAGTAATTATATGTTTTTGTCATT